AAATAAAACCGACTCATCATCTGAGGTATTATCACTGAATCGTCTTGACCTGGGACGCTTTCTCTCCACAAATTCATCCCAATCTTCTTCTTCCTCTGTTTCAGATTCTGGACGAACTCTAGTTTTTTTCTTGGCTTTTTGTTTTGAGGGGTTTGAAGGACCAGGCTTCGTGCTATTGTCCTTCTTAGTTGCATCGTCAGATTTTTGTGGATTAGGTGCAATATCTTCAAGTGCGATGCTTTTCCCTGGTTGTACATCCAGTTTTTTTCCTTCTTCCCTTTGGAGTCGCGCTGGTTCCATAACGGGCCTGCTGGAAAAGCTCTTTCAGTGCATCTGAAGCGCTAGTTTCTGCTTCCCGTTCTGAAGGAACTTCCTTTGGAAGTTTTTTCAAGATTTTCTCTCTACACACAGGAAAAATGCCGGTGCTTTCGAAACCAGAGCGAATATTGGCAGCATTTTGACTGTCGATACTATTTAAAGCCTGATTTAAAAGCCGCGGAAATACATCTTTGCGCACGACACCTCTGTTGCTTCTTTTCCAGATCCGCAGAATTTTGCGCCAAGCATTTTTAATAGGACGAAAGACACTGACATCCAGAGGCTGAGTCAAGTGCGTACTATTTGGCGGTAGTAACACAAATTGTATATTGTTCTCGGCGCATAAAGAGATGACTTGAACTGAGATGTGGCTTGCCAAATTATCGCCGATTAGTATTTTTGGCCCTTCTGGTAAAGAGTTAAAATATGGTAGGGCTACTGTCACAAACCATTCTTCAAACAAGTTGGTATCAAACCAGCCTGACTTGCTTCTGTTGTAACGGGCTTTAGGTGGACCGTTTTCCATCCAACTTGACCAGACGTGATCAGCCTTATACACAACGTATATAGGGAGCATTTTTCCTGAAGCGGAAACACTAAACATAACAGATGTTGCTGCCTTTGACGAATCCATAATTTTTTCAGCCCTTTTGCTCCTTCGTCGAACGACAACTTTTACACGTCCAGGGTCATCCGTGAAATTTGTTTCGTCGTAATTTACGATGGCTTCTGGCTCAACATTGCGTAATAAGGATGTTAAATTATCGAAGTATTGGTTAATAATTCGGGGGCTTATTTTTGCCCGACTTTGTTTAATAGCCTGTGAGAGTCTGCTGGAAAGAACATCTTTATGTCTTGCTAAAAAGCCTAGGTACCACTCCCTTCCCGGCATGTTGTCGCGAAATATTGAAACAGTAAGACCTCGTCTATTTAGATACCTACTTCATTATTCTGATAAAACCGCGTTCTTGGTATTTTGGTTTCTAGCAATTTGTCATTAACTGTATTATTTTAGGTATGTTCAGAACGAAACAGAGATTTATTAATTTTGATCGGAATATGATGGTTGTGAATGAAATAGTATACAAACCTCGGTAGGAAGTTTCATTCCTGTCTAGAGATCATAGCTAACTAATCTCAAGACAGGAATGAATCACTTCCCACCTCGGTGTGTAATATAATATTTCGCTCGCAGAGAAATGTTTCTGAAGAGGAGGATCATTTTGTATGGGATAAGTTCTGAGAGGGAGCTGTGAACCTCTGATACAATTCAAAATAATTTTTTTTGGTGCCAGTTTCAACCATTGTGGTAAGAAAATCTTCAGTCTGCCCCCAAGATTGCCTACCATCGACACTTCTACTCTCGTCGCCGTCGATGGTTGTCCTCTTTCGAAGATTCGAATTTTTTCCCTTATGTTGGTGTCGACCTCTGCATCGGCAATTGGCTGCTGCTGGATGATGTTATCGCTAGAGGCTTCTTCCGTTGTTTGTAATTCTGACGCTGATAGTTTAAAGACTGCTAAGGTGCTTTTTGGAATGCTTTCAGCTCACGGTTGCTGTTTTCCACCTTCTTCGCGGTTTCGCATTTCTCTTGAAAATCCGACCCGAAAAGAAGTGAATCTATCGATAGGATATCAGCTACTTTTCTATCTGATGGTGCTCAAATTGTGTATAACATTTGCAATGAGTTTTGCAGTATTCGCTAAAGTTTTGGTTTGGTCATTGGGAACTGGATTTTCTAGGTGATCATTAAGGATTTCTCCTAGAGCACATGAACCTTTGCATAAGGTAGTTTGAACCTTTTGCAAGTATGCATCCGATTTCTTCTGACGTTCAGATAAAAGAGTCAGTACTTTCGGGTTGGTGGCAGGTGCTTGCAGAACTTCACAGTTAGACGGCACCCCTCTAGTGAGATAGGAAGTCCATCTGTTTCCGACTTCTTCATGTATTGGAGGTCCAGAGTCCTCTGGTTTGTTTGGTTCCATATTAAGGATGGCGGGTAGGTCTGCTTGTTCTGGCTCCCCAGCCTGTTCATTCATGTGGGGTTCCTCTTGATGAGGGTGCGATTTCTAGGTCCAATTCAAACGATTCATAAATGCTTCCATCCCGTTCTGTGTCAACTGTAAAACGTCAAGGGACACTGTAATTTTGTATTCGTACAGAGAACTACAATTTCAATTTCATACAAGATGGTATTTTGTTCCCGTATGTATATGTATTATTTCCATAGGTAGCTAGCATTTAGTATAGGTAATTTCGGAACCACCATGTGGAGGGAGTCAACATTAAGTATGACCTCAATATCTTGAGCCGCCTTGTAGGAAACAGCAATTCATCACGTTTTTGCTAAGCTAAGCAAGCCAATATATCCTATTGACTGTGCCAATATAATGCTCAGTGTTTATATTATTTCTATAGCTCAAACATGCAAGCGTGGCGTGATTCATTATGGAATTTTCTGGGCACGTAACATTCTATGTGACATTCAGTCACAGTTAGATTATTTTCGTACGAAATCCGCATAAAGTCAAATTAACGCCTCTCCCCTGCGTTTCATATTATGCCAACAAACTCAAATAGGCTTTTTTTGTTTTTCTATATAGTATACAATTCTACTGACTGCTTGAGCTTGATGATATGTTGTCCAGTAATCTGGCTAATTTCTTCAGTTTATTCTTGTATTGCTTACGATGTCGATGTTCAGATCTCCTTTTCGGCACTTTCACTGTTCTGTTGTTAACACTTTCGCGCAACAAAGGATACTGAAAAAATACCGAACCAGATGTCGCCAGCGACCTGGCGTGTGGGTATTGGCAGGTACAGGGCGGATATAAATATTCTTTAAACGTTGTTGACATAATTGCGGACCAGGATATACTACAATGCGTTATATTTATGTATATATTGGAAACCAAATGTGAAATATAATATGGTATGGACCCAATTCTCCCGATTTTGTTCCATGATATGCAGTAGATATCATGCCATTATTGATTATATCTGTCTCTGGCAGGAACAGAGAAATACATTAATGTTGTGACACATTGAATGGTCGGAGATGTCTTAGGTTGACTGGTTAGCGGGTATCAGAACAACATTTTCGAGAATTGTTATTTTGGGTTTGCTAAGGTACTTAACGAAAATACCACTATTTTCTCCAATCATTTTTACGATGTTATAGCAAATGGAAGGTTTGTCTTGGTTGAACAAATATAGTGCCGCTTATCTTATTTCTATTGATCCTGCGTTAAGTGTCTCCGATTGTTCATGAATTTCTTCTGATAATTTCGTTCTGAAATATTCTGCCAGTTACTTGGCATCTATTTCAGATGGGCGTCCACGCAGAACCATCTATGAAATAATTATTGAAACTTGATTGATAATTCCGATTGATTTTCATTAACTTACCGTTAGTGAATTCAGAACTATTGTAGATGGTAATTCACAAATCCAAAGCAGAACTAAAAATTTCAAAAAAAAAAGGAGAAAATGGAATTGGTCATGATGGAATCTTTGAATGCTACTTTTGACGATCTTGTATGCATGCATTTATACAGACTCTCATGTAATCAACCTGCCCTATTTTACCAAAGTATCAAACGACTATGAAAATACGAAATATTATATTGTTCAACAAGCACGGCTACTGCTACAAAACATAGGTACTATTACCAGATACTTTGACGTTCTAGAACGTAAATGTCAAAAATTAGTAGTTTTCATTCTCATTCTGGTTTCAATGCAGTATTGGAAACAAAATTATTCGCTCGAATGCATCGATCAGTTCGCATTCTAGATACAAAATATATATTCTTGATCAAATATCTTGGAAAGTATGGATATCGATAGAGAAAATATCGTTCCGAACAGAAATAGAAACTGCAATATACAGGACACCTTAGCCAAAGTGTGAATTCATTTCACTCAGCAATAAACTCTACACCTATTTATCATATCGGAATATTACGAAAATGTTTATTGTTCAATCAGTGGCAAAGAATATACCTATATGGTTTTCAGGTTTTGATAGATTTTTATTTTCTGATATCCTATGCTACAATTCTAAAGTCATCCTAAATTTCCCAAATGCTGTTATAGGACTGGTGCCTTTTCAGCATGTAAAAGTGAAGTTTTTTGTTCGGATATAAAAAAATATAAAAATGATTTGATCTAGCTATTGTTTTGGGTTCGGGAAGACAGGCTGCGGCCTTATTTTCCTGGTTCTAATTGTTGCCCATTTGGCGGGAATCATGGGAAACCGCAGAAAACCATGATTGCAACAATGTACAATTGCTTAAATATTATGGTATAATTATATAATTGGGTTCTTCTGTGTGTCTTGATCCTTTCTGGCCTTTCAGGGGCCAGTGGGCTTCTGTCTGGAAGGGGTTGTGGAGAAGGAGCCTGGGATGTGGCTTCCTCGTGGTGAAGGTGGTCTTGGTGGAGTTGAGGATGGTGATTGGGGGCGACTGGTCGTTTCAGCGTCCAAGCGTCGTGGACCCTGGCTTCCGGTATTCCGGTCGGCTGGGAGAGGCGACCGGGTTCCCTGAGGCCGTGTCTCGGCGTCGGGGCGTCCTCGACGTCCATTCGTCCTGGTGGCTGGGCGTTCTAGATGTTTTGGGTGACCAGATGATCAGGACGTCTGGTAGTTCAGGCGTCCGTGGATCCGGGTGTCCTGATGTCTAGGCGTCCATGCCTAGGATGGTTGAAGAAGGTGAAGGTGTTGGCGGGGTGTAGCGACGCTGTTCTTTGGATGGTGGCGGCTGTGTCCCCGCTATCTTAGGCATAGCGGGGTGTTGTCCAAGATTTCCTCCAGGTCCTCCGGAAGATCGTTACATTGTTGAAGTAGGCGTGCTGTGGGAAGAGGTAATTTGCGCTTGGGGCGCCTCCGCAGAGCGCGCCGAGGACCCCAGGGGGCGCTCATTGTGGCAATTGCTGCCTCATTGTCGCCCCCCAGGGTCGTCGTCGCGTATTTCCGCTGAAGGTCCCCAAGACGTTCTGGTTTATGGGTGTTATGTTGGTGTTAGTGTATACGAGATGTGTTGGGTGTCTGTAGTGAAGGTATTGGCATTTTCTCAGAATTCGACGTTCGGTTGCCTGAAGGGCTAGTGTTTGTCTTGGGGTTAGTGTGGTGTATATTATTGCTTTGTAATCAACGATAGGTCTGATGAAGGTTTTGTAGGTATGAAGGAGTGTTAGTGTGTTACATTTTCCGAGTTTTCCGCAAAGTGCTCCCAGGAGGGAGGCTCTTTTTCTGATTTTATTGAGAGTGTGTTGTAGGTCGACCTCCCAGTTGAGGGTGCGAGTGAATCGCACACCCAGATAGGTGACTTGATCTAGAAGTTGGAGCCTCTGACCTGCGAGCACTAGGCGGATGTTTTCGGGGTCAAGTTGTTTTCTATATGTGAGGTTTGGATGGGTGAATAGGATGGTTTGGGTTTTTTGTGGGTTGAGTGTTATTCGCCATTTGTTGCACCAGTTTCTGGTTCAACATTTGTTGTCCGCGGGTGTTTAGTGTTAGTGAAGAGGGGGCTGAGGTGTATAGGGCTGTGGCATCTGCGTACAGGAGTGTGTTATGTTTATGTATATGAGGGATATCGTGAACGTAGATGAGGTATAGAAGTGGTGCAAGTATGGAGCCTTGGGGGACTCCACTGAGAGGGGAGAAGGGTTCTGATAAGGAGAGGTCTACTTTTATACGTATTTCTCTCCTCAGCAGATAGGATACTAGGATGCGTATGAAATGGTGGGGAAGGTTGATGTTAAGGAGTTTCTGGATCAGGCCTGAGTGCCAGACTTTGTCAAAGGCTTTTTGGACATCGAGGAAGATGGCTAGGGTGGCGTGACCTTCGTTGATTGCTTTGGTGGCGTGTGTGTGTATTTCGTGTAGTGAGTTTTGGGTTTCGTGATTAGGTTGGAAGCCGTGTTGATAGGGTTGTATTATGTTGTTAGTTTGTATGAATTCGAGGAGTCTGGATTTTAGGATTAGCTTGCCTAGGCAGCTGATTGAGGATATAGGTCTGTGGGAGTCAGGAATTTGTGGATTTTTACCAGATTTTAGGATGAGGATTGTATTTGCGCGTTTCCACGCAGTGGGGCAATGGGCGTATGTGAGGCATGCGTTGAGGATTTTTGCCAGAAGGGCGTGGGTGGAATCTGGGAGTTGTCTTAGTGTTTTTCTGTTGATCGCGTCGGGACCGGGTGCTGAGTTTTTGCCAGTGTGAATGGTTGTGTGGATATCGTGTGTAGTGATTGGATTTAGGAGTGGGCATTCAGGATTTAGAGGGATGGGGCCTGGGTGGTGATTAAGAAATTGATTTATGTGCGTAATTGTGTTTATTTGGACATTGTTATCAAAATTTGGATGGTTTTGAGTTTGAAGAGTGCATTCTAGGTGGTTTTTAAAAATCGCGGCTTTTTGATCGGTTGTGGCGTGGATTTGGTTATTATGAATTAGGTGACAGTGGGTTTTTTTATTTTGTTCAGTTACAGGCGGCTCGGTGGTCATGAGCGTTAAGGCGCTGAGTTCGAATAGGGACTCCCACCGAGACCTAGGTTCGAATCCTAGTTAGGCCATGGATGTTTGTGTTTGTATGTATACCTAACCCCGCACAAATTTCGACTTATGGGGCGTTTGGTCCCAGTGCTGGGACTAACGAGGCATGCAATTGCGAAAAGAAAAAAAGTTAATCTTTCAAAAGTTTTCAATAACCTGCTCCATCCCTGTAATCGAGGTTGGCGGTGGCTTTAATCCAAAGTTTTTCTATATGTTTATTTATTTTTAATCTGATTGTAGAATTTGATCTATTCCATTCGGCTTTTAGGATAGGGTCGTGGGTTTGTGTGTACTGTCGGTATAATCTACGTTTTTGTTTTATGAGGTTTAGGATATTAGGAGGGAGTGTATGATAATCGGTTTTTATGGTGGTGAGGGTAACTGTGGCGTCGATGGCGTCTGTAATTGTGGATTCAAGTGTGTGTATGGCGTTATCTATTTGGATTGGGGATTCGAGTGGGGGGTTAAGTGGAAGGTTTTGTGAAATGAGGGTTCTGAATTGGTTTCAGTCAGCTTTTTTGAAATTGAGGAAAGTTATGGTACCTGAAGGTTTCGAAATTGGGTACATTAGCTGAGAGTGACAGAGGAGAGGGAAGTGGTCTGAGGAGATGGATTCCCCGATGTGACACTCACCCTCGAGCATCTTTATACACCTTTCGGTGCATATGATATGATCGATGATGGATGACTCACCGTAAGAAAAAAGGTGTAGTTTTGGTTTGGGATATCTAGGTCTTGTAGGTGAGGTGGGAGGTTATGTGGTGTGTGGGGGCCGTGTCTTACGAGAAAGCCGATGCCTCTTGATGTTTCATTTTCAGGTGTGTGTATTGTGTTATATCCAGTGAAGCTGGGGGGATGTTCTTGAAGGGTGCCTGTTAGCGCTAGAATTTGAATGTTTTGATTTATCAGAAGGTTTTTAAGGAGGTGTCTTTTTCGGGTGAGGCCCTGGCAGTTTACGGTACCGATTGTAACGTTTGTTGTCATTGCTGTTCGTTCTTTAAGATTTTATTGTATTTTGATTTTATATTTTTATTCTCAAATTTTGTTGAAGAAAAACTTCACCTGGCCTCCCGAGCATAGGACCTGCATATTTTTGTTCAGACTTGTGAGTATCAGCTGGCGTCTTTCCGGCGAGGTGTTGATCAGTACAATTGTGTTAAGCATAATTATTGATT